GGCACGGCAAACATGTGGAAGAAGGTGCTCTGGTCAGATGAGACCAAAATGGAACTTTTTGGCCAAAATGCAAAATGCTATGTGTGGCAGAAAACCAACACTGCACATCACTCTGAACACACCATCCCCACTGTCAAATATGGTGGTGGCAGCATCATGCTCTGGGGGTGCTTCTCTTCAGCAGGGACAGGGAAGCTGGTCAGAGTTGATGGGAAGATGGATGGAGCCAAATACAGGGCAGTCTTGGAAGAAAACCTCTTGGAGTCTGCAAAAGACTTGAGACTGGGGCGGAGGTTCACCTTCCAGCAGGACAATGACCCTAAGAACTCCAGAGGATGTGGAAGGTGAAGGTAACACTGGTCCCAGTTGTAATGTATCTTGTTTTTGTTTTTTCAACTATCCAAGCTTGCGTAGGAAAATATGTTAATTTTAGTGAACTCACCTTATAAATCCCCAACCAGCCCACTGTAAACAGGTGGGCCTATTCTCTGCTACTGAGAGGTCACTTAAGAGCACAAGGCTAAAGCAGCAGAAAATAGAAATCGCTTGAAAGATAAAAGAGTTATGCGATAAAAGACTCGACCACAAACAAGCGAGACATCTGCTGTATTGTGGAAACTCCAGTGTGTAAAAGAATGTGTCCAGACTGAGACTGAGTGTGTGTCCAGTTTGGCATTACACACTGTCCATGACATGGCTGCAGAGCAGATAAGCTTGTCTTATCTTTGTTGCCAACTCCTACCCCCAGACAAAGTGACCGGGAGGAGAGCAGACAGCAGTGGAACAACTCTGAAATAATGCCTCTATTGTTCAGTCTATTTACACCCCCCTCCTCTCCCTCACACACACTTCAAACATTCCCCACCCTCTGTTTATTGCTGCGAAAAAAAACTCAACAGTGTTGCTTTCTTTTTGCTTCATCATGGCTGCCCTCTTGTTCACTCCGGCTTCTTCACCGTCTCATCTTTGAAAGGTGCTATAAATACAGCATATGCACCCGCACCCACGTAAACACACTCTAACTCCTCCAACTGGCAGCACCCATGGGAGCCACCCTACCACAAACACAAAGCCTAGCCTCACACTGTTTTGTTTCATTTATCTCTCTCAGACTTGTTCCACCTTTCTGCCAACTTCCAATAGAAGTTTAAACATCGGGATGCCACACTGCAGCTAAAGAGCGAGACAGCACACACGCAAATCAGCAGTGTTTATCAGTGTGCAAACAAACCACACATGCAAAATATTTGGGGCACCCAGATCTCTTAAAATGCATATTTGAAAAGGGAATCCCTTACTTCAAGAGAAGCAAAGGGATGTTTGAAGCACTGCACTGTTTTTTAAAAACTCTTGCGAAGCCAGACTGTTCAACTTGCACATCTTACACATACTGGATTCATTACTGTAGCACTGACACACCTCATTGCTCAGTTCATTAGGTTTTAGGTCTGCTGCTACAGCCTTATGGCCATTAGCATGTTGTTTGTAACAGTGATAGGTTCTTAGTTCATTTTATTTTGTTTTATTAAAGATGCATTTTTTTTAGCCTTCATTGCAAAATGACAATAGAGTGAAAACAGGACAAAAGATTATGGGATGACAAAGTGGGGCAGGATTTGAACCTGGTCCTTTGCATTAAACATATGGGTCACTTGCTCTATCCAGTAAGCTAAGCTAGCTTAAGACACATTCATGTGACGAACATAAAACTATGACATAATCAAAACTACAAGAAACTTAATGCTAATACCAATACCTATTTTGAGTACTATTTAGAAACACTTGGGGCTAACTAAAAGCATATAACCTGTAGGACATAGTTTTTAAACATGGCCTACCAGCCAAGAACCATTTATCTTTAATCTTTAGCAGCTGATGAGTCAGTTCTGTTGCATAAGTGCCCTGCCCTTAGATATTTTCTCTCATGGAGAGATTAAGAAAGACCACTGTGGTCCCTTATAAAACCCCAGCACACACGGTTCACCTCCCTTTGCCCTTGGCCATGCTGAGGATCGTTGAATATGATCTGAGCCCTGCAGCAACATCGGAAAAGACAAAGATGGACGTTCCATAAATGCTGGCAACTTTGGACTTCCATGTGGCCTATTTCCTCCTGCCTGAGTCACCAGGCTGTGGCAGGCTGTGGCCCCATCTGCCTCATGCCACTCCAAAAGAGTGCAATTTACAGCAGCAATTCATGAAACCCATTGCTAGCGATAGAGACAGAGGCAGCATGTACAAGTCAAGGCGACTGGACAACAAACAAACAAAAAAAACACAGTAGCTATTGGACATAACTCAAGTTATGTTAAATCTGCTGCCGTTAAGTTTTCTGCTTAGAGGCCCTCTGGCTTCTTCTTTAGTTGATAATTCTTCAAAAGGAGATGAGTGGTGTATATTATGGGATTAGGAGATCAGGGTGCCTGGTTACTACCTCCTTCTATATCAGCAAACCTTCCTAACCTGAAAGCCAAGGGGTCACATTTAACAGAACATTAAGGCAATTTTGTAAATTACAGTCATCTTAAATTATACTTAGAAACAAGCATTATCCAGGGTATGGTCATTGACTAACTACTGAAGTCCTTAGCTAGTGAACGGTTTCACAGTCAAATCTACCATAGCCACTGTGGTTTGCTGACTATAAATTTAAAGCCTCAAGTTTTGGTCAGTGCCATCTTCGTCTTTTAAATGTCTTGACAAAGAGCTGGATCTGACTGGGAAACCAAGATCACTTCCTGCTAACACAGTAGAGACTTGTCAGTCATGTAATTCAGCCATTCAGATCATAAATACATAAGTAGCCATACTTATGTTTGTATTCAGAAGAGTCATTCCAAAGAACTTTGACGGTTTAAGGCCTCACATTTTAGACCTAGAAGCTACCTTCATGTTTAATACACAGTCTATGCTTCACAGCCTGCCATGGTGGCTAAAAAAAAAGCCATAATGCAAATTAGATACAAATTAGGCAAGAGAAAATTGCATACAGCCACGAATGTGTCGAGACAGTCCTACAGCTGCTTTACATTCCAGTCAACACCAAAGTCAATAGGCAAATGAGATCAAAGTGAGCATGTATATAATAGCAAATACACACCAACCTGTTTCACGTAGTAACATCTGGGCATGATCAATTTTTATTCAAAGAAGCCTTACCTTTAGATTCTACTGCAGTAGCGCAGCATTCAATGCCAAAGAGCAAAACAAATGTGCTAGACGGAGGCTGTTTGTATCAGGCATTATAAGGAAAGCACAGAATATATATGTGCACATAGTTTGTGTCCCGAGCTTACCATTCATAAAAATTCCAACTGCCAGTCAGACTACAGAAATAGTGAAGTATCAAGAATGAATGCCTGAGCAAATACTGAGAAAATCATCTACGGTAAGCAAGGAGTTGCTGCAATTTAGATACATACAAAAGCACTTTTACATATAAGGTTTATCTGGTCAGAAAACACAAAAAAAATCATTTTAGGTTTTTGTCCTTGAGTGTGATGTCTAAGGTTGGGGTCAGAAGATTGCATACAGTGATCGTGGGCATGACTGTTTTGGTATTTATTTTTTGAAACAATTTCTTTGAACTCTTTATCTTTTAATAAGTGGTGCTGGTGGTTCTACAGTGTTATATAACTTCACAAGACAAAGGCCTATAATTTTCTCATAAATGATCATAATTGACTACAACTGGTGGATTCTCTTTTTCAGTATAAACAGGGTTTGTATGACAACTGATCAATACAATCAAGAAAGTTGAAGAAACGTCAGGTTCTTCCCACAAGGTGGAAGGTCTCTTAAAGCAGCGGTCCCCAACCTTTTTTGCGCCACGGACCGGTTTATGCCCAACAATATTTTCACGGACCGGCCTTTAAGGTGTCGCGGAAAAATACAACAAAATAAAACTAGTACCAGTACCGAAAAAAAGATCATAACACACGTGAAAAGACCCAGGAAGACCGAGTTAAAGATAAAAACGATAACAAAATAACGCTGAAAACCGATAAAAACCCTGAAAACCATACATTTCACACCTGAGCCTCAACTCTCGCGGCCCGGTACCAAACGACTCACGGACCGGTACTGGTCCGAGGCCCGGGGGTTGGGGACCGCTGTCTTAAAGCCATTTCTAAACAGCAAGTTCCAAGATGATCACTTCCAACAACTGCACAATAATATGAGTTATTTGGCTACAGACCACTTTTATTCCAGACCACTTTGCCAAGGTCTGAAATAAAACCCAAATGGTTCCCCTAAGATTAGAAGAAATTAGGATGTTCAGGAGTAACCCAGGAACCACCAAGGTTCAAACCTGCAATTCATTCCTGGAACACCAGGAATGCATCACTGTTCACAATAAAGTTTTCGATCTTTATGGACTGAGTTTGCTGACTAAGGAAGAAGTCCCTGTTCCAAAACCGACACCCTAAAGCTTCAATGAAATTTGCCGCTGCACATATGGGTCAAGCCAAATGCCTTCAGGAGTAAACCTGAGGCTTTCAAACCCAAGTACCACCTGTCAAGCATGGTGGTGGTAGTATCATCCCAAACACAGATCCAAACTCTTTTTGGAATGGGAAGCATCTGAAATGACCTTCCTGAAGACCCAACAACCCTACTGAAAGAAAGGTCTGTGGCAAGAAACAAGTCATTTAAATTAACTCCACCAATACTGCCAAGAGTGGTCAACATCCGGCCAAGCGTGTGGTTGAGTTGCAAATTGCTAAGGGACTAAATTTGAGCCTATATGTATACATTTCTGACTGTTTTTTTTTACAGTAATTAAAGATGTATGCTGTTTGATCATGTTAAAAGCCCCAATTTACCATGACGTTCATGCCCATGAGTGTATGTAACCTTGGGTAGACTAGAAAAAAAAAAAAAAAGAAGATGTTTTTAAATCATTTTAGTAACCCTGTAAACTTTAGTCATCAGGGGAAAAAAAAAAGAAAAGCCCCCAGATGTCAAAGAAAGTCATTATATACGATACAGCAGCCACATTGTTTGTAAATGGTTTTTATTAGCAAAATAAGGGAGATGAGTCTACAAAGATTCTCCTTCCACGGAGAACATACACATACACTGACAGTTGTGGCAGTTTCTTTATATGAACAGATCCAGGATGACATTTTACATCACTCTCTTGCCAAAGTATTGCTGATCTATGATAACAGACCAGGCTTCCTTGACCATCACAGTTTCCAGGATCCTCAAGCAGTGTCTCTACTCTCAAAAATCATCATTAGGCAGGATCCAAGAACAGCGCCTGAATTTTAAAACATTTCAGACCTCATCCTCACCTTCATAATCTATTCTGAGATTTAGTTTCTCTTCTCAACACCAAATTCTCCATAGCCCCCCCCCAAAAAAAATACATTAAAATATACAGTAAAATGTGCCTACTCTGGTCTTAGTACTTAAAACACTTAAGCATATTATAAGCTCAGTGCCTCAGCTAACCATTTTTTGAATGGTTGGGAAGAATGGATATTTTACAGATAGTTTAAAAACCAGGACCCCATATTTGTGGGGTAAATGTAACAATATAGATCGCAGTATTGTACTGTGTGATTGGCTGACGAGGCCTTCCATTGTCAGGGTGGGTGGGAATTAGGGGACCGTGGAGGCTACATGTTGGTCACAATGGAGACCCATGTACCTTATAAACTAGAGGTAAATCCTCCTGAAAGCTCAGTGGTGTGCACACAGAAGATAGCAGAGACACTAACATATGAAAACAGTTTACCTCTTAATGACTAGAACAATTCAGCAGGCAAAAGAACAAGCATTTGTACTACGACCGCAGTAAAAGGCATGCGAAGGCACAAGTACCAACAAACTGGACTCAAAGGTTGCACCCCTTTTCTTCCCTTTTGGTTGCGGGGAAGGGAGAAAAGAAGCATTTCCATCAACAGTGAAGTTTCATTTTCCAGAGACAGTGGCAGAAGGAACAGCAAAAAAAAAAAAAATAAAAAAAAAAGAGAAAAAAAGATCTTTCTCAAAAACGGAAAAACAAAAAAGATGAAAAGAATTTTGCAGTGACGCCTTTACAATGATACAAACATCCTACACAAATGTAACGCTAGTTCCAAAGGTTCCAAGACGAAAAACATAAATAAAGCTGTTAAAAGTGGCATATAGTACAGCACTGGTCCGTGACTGATTTTCCCCCATTCTTCTCATCTTCCCCACTAAAGATGCACAATAAGCTGGCTCCACTGCCTGAGGACACAAGGGGAGAAATAAAGAAACATGAAAGACGAGTAGATGGAGGAGGGGTGGTGGTTTAAGGAGAGGCTTTGCAGACCTCGACCTTGCCGCTATCGTTTCACATGCATCTAAATTAAGCAGAAAATGAATTCAAGCCTTTGAAAATAAGACGGCACAAATTTGCACACATCATTGATTAAATGATGGATTATTTTCCTTCTTTATGCTCTGAATACTTATATTCTGGAAACAAAAATATACACACACACACACACACACACATATATATATTTATATAAAAGTAAGTTTTTAATCATCATGGAAAGATGTAGATATTCAAATAAGGCTCCAGTGGTTTACTCAACTCCCACTCCATCCTGGTGAGCACATAAGCAGTTGTATTCCTTATATGTGCCCTCATCCATGACACACGTGTGCGCCACATGTGAGGGCTTACTTACCAATAATAATAATAAAAAAAGGTTGTCATCTTCAGAAGAGTCCACAGTCTTTCAGGTTGTTCTTGATAATGACGTCAGTAACAGCGTCAAAGACAAACTGCACGTTCTTGGTATCTGTGGCGCAGGTGAAGTGGGTGTAAATCTCCTTGGTGTCCTTCCTCTTGTTCAGGTCCTCAAACTGACACTGGATGTAGGCAGCTGCTTCCTCGTACGTGTTGGAGCCTGAGAAAGACGAGGAGGTGGAAGTGAAGTAGCCCGGGAAGTTACCATGTAAGGAAGGGACAGGGAAAGCGTAATTTTTGTACGGCGCTAGGAAATGAATAGCATGGCTGGGCTTTATCCTGCTAAGTGTGCTTCCTTTGTACGAAAAAAAGAAGAAATAAATGGCTAAATTGTTATGCCAAATGCTGGTATGGCCCTACATCATGATCAGGACATCCCTAATGGCTATAATGCTTTGATAATCCACTAATTAGGATGCATTTGAATTATTGTGTATAAAAAGCAGAGATTGAAAAGAAAATTCGGCAGGTTTATGTAGACGAACATGCTGGGTTGAAGCAATAATTTGAGAAGGTTACTGGTGGTGGCCAACAAGTAGTCTGGCACATAGATGCTACACAAAAACAACATTTGGGGTAAGACTAATTACTGAGATTCAAAGATCGAGTGGTGGGCAGATTATCTCTTAGCTATAACTTTGTATTTAGCAGGAAAGTAAACAGTTTTAAAATCTGCCGTAAGACTTTGTTTTATAACAACACCAACTGAGGGTATCCTGAGCACAATATGAATCGATGAAAAAGGCTTTTTACTGCCAGACTCACCAGCGTATTCTGGGTAGCAGATGGTAAGAGGGCTCTTCTTGATTTTCTCTTCAAACAGGTCCTTCTTATTGAGGAAGAGGATAATGGAGGTGTCTGTGAACCACTTGTTGTTGCAGATGCTGTCAAACAGCTTCATGCTCTCGTGCATTCGGTTCTGAGGAGAAAAAGGAAAGTGACGATGGGTCTTTGTGCTTCGCTCAGTGATCCACGAAGATGTCACGAGCGGAACCGATCCTTCGCTTCTACTTCTATGACCATTGTGATTATAATACGCAAAGACAAAGTTCCTGCTGTGTGTGAACATAGAGTGCCTGCTATTATGTCATGTTCCATGAGTCACACAGCTGAACCACTCACCATCTCTTCATCCTCAGCCAGCACCAAGTCATAATCACTGAGAGCCACGCAGAAGATGATGGCCGTCACACCCTCAAAGCAGTGGATCCACTTCTTCCTCTCAGACCGCTGACCTCCTACATCAAACATTCTGGGTTGAAGACAGGAGTGGGATCGTGTGAGCATGTTCCTCAGCATGACAGCTTACATTAGAGATAGTGCTTGTGAAATCCAGAGGTTTACAAAACAAAATTACTACTATGGCGAGTAGTGATAAAAGTACAGAAAACAAATGACTTTGTGGTTATAAATGAAAGATGAACTTTAAAAACATTACTACGGAAAACACTGAGGCATACAACAAGTATAAACACAAAGAGAGATTGAGAATAACCAAGCCAGGCAACTCGTACTAGTTTCCTTTTCATGCAATATTACAGTGAATTACACATTCAACTTGCTAACTAAGCTAGCTTCATGAGACTAGTGTTATTTAACTCCACAGACATACCCTTATGGTAACATCTGGCTGACAAAACAAAAAAACAAAAAAACAAAAAGACAGCTAAAGCCAAAATGCCAAGCTTGAGCCAGATGTGATGGTGGCTACTTCCATCTTTCATATACAGGCTATCAGAAAAGCACTTTTCTGGTTTTACTTGAGAGGGCAATGTAGGTTCTGAATTGGGCTTACTTCAATTCGTGAACAGGACTATGATTTTCAATTAAGGCTCATCACAGATATCACTTTATATCTACAGTTTTTTCCACATTTTTAAGAAAATCAATCTGAGCATACATTACGTGAGACACCTTTGTGCACCGATGTACAAAAACACACAGCTGTAGTGCAATAAGAAATATCAAGGGAACCATTCAAGGCCTCATTTAGCTTCTGTAATAGCTCCTACTGGTGTATAAAACTGCACAAGTCCCATCTGGAAATACTTTAGTTTTAAAGATGGAACAGGAGGCGGGCTTTTGAAAGGAAATTAAACCATACTTGGTGTTCAGATTAAATTGGAAGCAAATTCAACCAGATGAGTACCTAAACTAAATAAATACTTTGTTCTTGAGAAAACCTGTAAACTCCCGCATTACATAAAGCAATATCTACTTTGGCTTTTGTAAGTGAAGTGTGCTTTTATGGAGCTAATTACAGCGATGTGACGCTGAATTGGCTAAAAACATTCCTGGTATCATGACATCACCAAACCTCCTGCGCTCACTTCCTGTCTGTGTACATTTAAAGAGGGTGACAACTGAGTCATCGCTGATGTGCGCAACACCTTCGCAGACTGTGTCACAACTTACAGCTGTGAATGCATAAAGGGAATTTCTTTTGGAGTGAATGAGTCAGTAACAGGAAGGAAAACTAATTAAGACATCTTGTAAAACACTCTGAGCCAGTTGTTACAACAAAATTCTCACTTGAAGTGCAGGTCCTTAAATGTGAAGTGCGTCTCAACAATGCCCGTGGTTTTCACTCGGGTCCTCAGGACATCCTGCTGAGTTGGGATGTAGGTGGCCTGGGATATCCTGTCCAAATCGTTCAAGTAGCTGAGAGAAGGACATAAAGAAAAGGACATGAGGAGGGGAGGGTTGGAGAAAATGGATCAAGGTCACCTGTCTCTGCTCCCAGTGCAGGGAGGTGAAAACCAGGTTAGATTCTATATTCTGGTCGTAAAACTATTCATTTTATGTACACATTTCAATACAACCCTGTTTTACACATTTGAATTCAGTTTTTCAGTAGAGACAAAACAATAACAAAAAAAAAAAAAAAAGAAAAGAAAAGAGGAAGCTAGTGACAGTATAGAGCATTTGCCTTCGTGCCATTGTGTCTAAATTTAACAGTGGTTTTGTGGTTAGAGCTGTTGCCTCACAGCAAACAGGACCTTGGTTTTAATCTAAGCCCTGCTCTTTTTCAGTGGGGAGTGTACATTGTTTTCGCTGGTTGCGGGGTTCCCTTCTATGTGCTTTGATCCCTCCTACAGTCCTAACAACTTGCAGCTGAATTGGAAACTCCCTACGTGTGAGTGCGATTGTCTCTGTGCCTTAGCCCTGTAATAAACCAGCCATCTGTCCAGGGTGCTGTCCCACATTTTGTCAAATAAAGTACCTGCTGGGATAGACTCATTACCTTGTATGGGAATAGCTGTGTACTGAAAATAGAAGGGTGGAATTCAATTTATTCTTTATCACTTCGAATAGGTTTTTGCTTTCTTGACAAAATTCTTGGACATCAGTGCAAACAAAAACAACATTCTCTGCCGACTGTAGTGCTGCAATACATGTATGAAGATAGAACATTTTGCAAACAGAGTAGAAATATTTTTAATCTTTTAAAATATGCAATACCGTTAAGTATATTAGACAAACTAAACACACTTTGGATGCATTACGTTTTAAGTTGATACCTCAAGGTTACTGGTGATAATTTAAAAGGAAGGAGGGGGGATTAGTAACCTGTAGTTGTAGAAGCAAAGTAATCTCAATTTCATGCAGACAAGCCTGCTGTTTGTCCTGCAGGATATTATGTGGAGTGAAAAAAAAATAATTCAGAAAAGCCCCTGGACAGCAGGATAAGCGGAACTAATTAGAAAATGGACAACTGCTGCAATATAACTGCTGATGTTTGCTCTATAGAAGCAAAACAAGGTAGATGGCTTTCCAACCCTGAAAAATAATAAAAGGAAAAAAAAAGCTGCCTTGTGATAGAATTTGTTGAAGTGCCAGGGGCAATATATGCTAGGTTCCAACTAGTAAAGACATGTTCAGCTACAGAAATGTATTTTTTTTTTTTTACTGAGTTTTTAAAATCTTTAAGCATGTGCTAAATGTTCCTGTGCTGAAGGAGAAGGTCAAAGATTAAATAGTCTTTGCAGCCATCGCTCTTCAGGCACGGTAGAGGAAAGTAAATATTGACAGATTAAAAGTCCAGACACATCAGCCATACAAGTAGCTCTCTGAGTATGGTTGAAGGTTGGGGCAGCGTGTGTCTGGCTTCTGTATTTACAGTGGAAACGCGCTCATTTTGGGCTCCTGGTCATCTGACGTGAAAGACTTTGTCATCGCCCGTCTTTTCTGCGGATGACTCACAGCTGTGGTGAACCCGGCGATTATTAACGTGGTTGCTTATGTGTTGGACTGCGTGACTCACTATGCTGCCGAGTCGTTGAGCTGATATTCGCGGGAGCGGCTGAAGCAGGCTTGAACACCTCCGTCCTTCCAGAGTCGCTTGATGACACCGGCCAGCTCAGCTGTCATGAAGCCTTCCTCTGCTGAGCCCGCCAGCACAAACAGTTGCCGCGCATCATCCTGAGAGAGGAGTCGGGGTGGTGTCAATATCATAAATCAGCCATCTCAGTCATTACACCACCATTGTGATTCACATGAGCTATCAAGCTAAAACACCAGTCACATTTTAAATACATCGCAGGGAAAGCTACAAATTAAAAGACCCAAATAAATGACCCTACTATTTTTATAATGTTATGTTGAAGGGCGTGTAAGCAGAGACTATTGTTCCTATTGACAGTGATCACTTAATGTAACTACCTGCTTGTTTCCCCAACACCACAAATTTACTTTGGGTTTCTACTCTAAACAGACCAAATTACAATCTTCTCTCGACTCACAGCTCTTGCTGGGTCACCGAAGTCGATCTTGAGGCGCCCCATGGCTCTGATGATGGCGATTATGGACTGGATAGTGTTGCTGTAGACCACAGCCTTGTACTGCTTGCATTCCTCTTCTGAGTAGCCTGCCTCATGGATGATCCTGTAGA